CATGGTTGTCTCAGATACTGTTTGACTGATTGATTGTCTCCTTGTTTGAGAAGGTTTTTTCTATTTGGCCATGGGTCAAAATCCCGTACCCCAATCCCAACCAAAATAGGTTCTAAAATAGGGGGTGCACCTACCCCAAAATGGGTTTCCATTGGTTTTGACAACCACAGCCATATGGCCGTGGGGCATAGCCTATGGCTCTATTTTGTGGTATTTTGAGGTTCACCACAGGGTTCTGACAACCGCGGCCATCTGTCAAAAGGGGGGAGCCCTAACAATCATGGCGTCCTTTGGGCTTCCGTTTGAACCAAATGGGGTAACTGCACCTTCAAAAAAGAGAACAAGGTGGACAGGCGTGCTTCCCGTGAGGCAACCAACAGCTCGACCTCGCAGTTCGCCGCTTTCGGGGCCTGCAAGACCGGGGACGGCGGATGGCCCTTCCCGCATGGCGCCACGCGGCGCTAAAAAAGGTCGATTCCCTTGGGCCCCAAAATAACCAGTTCCATTTAGTGGTGAAAGTAACTTTTTTCCCCTTCGGCCCCAAAATAACCATGGGCAACTTGTCCCCTTTTTGTGGTGCAAGTCATTGTTTATTCCCATTGGTGCCAAAATAACCATGAGCGGGGGAAGTCGTTTTTTGTTCCCTTCGGTGCCCAAATAACCATGGGTAACTTGTCAACATTTAGTTGTGAAAATCGTTTGTTTCTTCCCTTCGGTGCCAAAAAGACCATGGGCAACTTGTCCCATTAAGAGGTGAAAGTCATTTTGTTATTCCGATCGGTGCCAAAATAACCATGAGCAACTTGTCCCCTTTAGTGGTGAAAGTCTTTTCTATTCCCTTTGCTGCCAAAACAAGAACCATGGGCAACTTGTCTCGTTTTGTGGTGAAAGTCAATTCTTTTTCAGTGGTTTCCCTAATGGTCGCTCCATGTAAAGAACCTTTTGATCAACCCCCATATTCTGTTGATCAGGAACAGCTGGTGTGAGAAGTGACAGGTGTTGCCTGCGATTCTTTGTCATGCCGACGTTCATGGACCACTCAATGGTTTGTCAGTTGCCTTTCTGAGCATGCCTCAGCCTAGCACTGCCGTCATTGCCTCAACCTTCCTAAACCTTTGACGTATCATATATGGGTATGTCTCAGGCCAGGGAGACCCCCTTTTTGAGTAAGGCAAACCAAAAAAGGAGCCAAGCACTCAGAGGGCTCCAAGTTGTTTTTTGGAACTCCAAAAAAGAAGCTGGGGCCCCTTCTGGTTGTTTGAACCCAGAGGGTCTCTCCAAGAAAAACCGGCCGCGTCGCCAGGAAAAAATAATCCGCCGAGGTCTTCAATGTGTCGATGTACCGCGCGCTGGCGCGGCCCTACGCCCAGGCCATCGCCGGGAACTTCTCGTCCTCCGGCTTCGAGGTGGAGGCGAAGATCTTCCGAGCCACGGACTCAAAGGCGAAAGAACAGACCCTCCCACCAATTAATATGGCCATGGGTCAAAATCCCGTACCCTCAAAATAGGTGGCAAATAGGTGGCAAATAGGTGGCAAATAGGTGGCAAATTGGTTGCCTCAAACGAGAGGGAGACCGTGTCAGTCAAATGGCTGTGGTGGTCAAAACCGTTTTGGGATCACAAGCAATGGGATTCCATTTTGGGGTAGGTGAATTCACCACCCATTTTAGAACCGCTGTGTCAGTCAAATAGCTGTTGTGGTCAAAACCCTGTGGTGAACATCAAAATAGGTGGCAAATGGATGAACTCGTCCACCCCAGAGCCACAGGTTATGCCCCATGGCCATATGGCTGTGGCTGTCAAGACCGTTTTGGGATCCCATTTTGGTTGGTAGGTGCATTCACCACCCATTTTAGAACCCATTTTAGTGGGGATTGGGATGTTCACTGGGGGTACGATTTGGATTTTGAGCCATGGCCAATTAACATGGAACCTGACAGGGGGCTTCTGGAAGACCATTTTCCTTTCAAAGGGACCCCCCTGTCAGGTTCCAAGTGAATTGGTGGGAGGGTACCACGTATGTGTGAGAATGGATCGGGGCCCATGGCTGTCCTTTGGTTTCCCTAAACATGAGTAAAGGCTGTGAGCGTCAGAAGCCGAGGTATGGAAATGGAGGTATGTTATAATGTGGTAATCCTGTACATGGGTATGCGTCATAGGGGGAGGCCTCTTTCCCTTTAATTTCCGGTCCCTTTCGTTGACCCGAACAAATACCCTGCAATCGAAGCATGTGTCCAAATCGAGGGACCCCCAGCATGGCGTCCTTTTTGGTTTCCCAAAGGTTTTGGTTTCCGAAGGTTCTAGCAGATTCCAGGGTACACACATGGTGTGCAGGATAGCTGGGTCCTCCTTGCCCCTCTTTTAACCTGCCGGCTTAGCGCACTTCGCGTGGCAAGCATCGGACAGTTGGAGAGTTGGATCCAGCTTGGGGAAGCATCGGCAGTATTCACGCACCACACAAAACAAAAAAATCAGAGCGTCGGAACAATCAAAGCCAGCTTGTCCGAGCTGCCATATGCTCACTATCCAATGCACAGGTTCGCATCCGACAAGCAGCAAGCGAACAGCCAAGCTGCAAGTCCATCTGCCTTCTGAACAACCAACCCCCCCTGTGTGGGCAAAAGACCGGATTGGACTTCACAAACCTTTGAATCAGGTCTTGATAAGATCAAGAGCACCATGGCCATCCAAGCCACAATCGCTTTTGAGCATGGCTTGCATTTTTCATGCAGGCCCACTCCTTGGTTTGATAGAATTCAGTTTGTTTCCAAGTCCCAAGCTGTCATTTGCCAGGTGGATTTCGAGTGCCAAGAGACAAGTGTGGCTGAGACCGGACATATGTACCCTTTTCTGTACTTTTCCATGACTCTTTCACCTTGGAATGCCCATTTTCCATCTCGTTTTAGCCTCAGACGCGGAACCGCATCGGCAGAGTTTTTTTGGGCACTGCCAGCTCTCGCTCATGCAGAAAAACGCTCCGCCTATTGCCTTCGACAAGTGTCATCAACTCGCAGCTAAACGTGATATCATTTGCCTTAGTCAACGATCAGCTAAAAAGAGAAGTAGAAAAGAACATACCAATCCAAGCCGCCCAGGGATGATCACATGTGAATGGTCCAAATCTCAATTTTCAGAGAAAACCCATATGGCTGTCGGCTGTGGGTCAAAACCAATGGTACCATTTTTGGGATAGGGGAATTCACCACCCGTTTTAGAACCTATTTTAGTGGTTGGGTTGGCGGGATGTTCACTGGGGGTACGATTTGGATTTTGACCCATGGCCAATTCACATGGAACTTGACAGGGGGGGTTCTGGAAGACCATTTTCCTTGTAAAGGGACCCCCTTGTCAGGTTCCATGTGAATTGGTGGGAGGGTACCAAGTATTTGTGAGAATGGACCGGGGCCCTTGGCTGTCTTTTGGTTTTTCCACTTGAGGATTGAGCTTCCGAGCGGATCCCAGCATTTTGGAGCCCACCCTCATCTCCACCCCGGAGATCATCTACCCCTCGGGCATCGAGCTGCAGATCAGTGCCTCGGGGGGTCGTGCCACCGGAAACCACGGCGGGGTGCTTTTCGTGGCCTTTGAATGGGTCATTCTTTGAACGGTTTCTGGGGGTTAACAAAGTCGGAAAATGGGGTTCTTTCCCTTTAACCCACCACTGAGGGGGTGACTTTGACCATGGTAAAATAATGAGGACGGTCTTAAGAGCAACCGAAGCTGTCGGTTTTCTTGGAAACTGAAGGGAATCCTCCAGAAAGGCCCTGACTGTGTGTCATGCTTGGAGAGTGTGGGATTGCTTGCCTGATTTAGCTGGGTGCGTGCAATCACAGCCCAGACATCATCATCAAAACCGAAAACCGCCTAGAGCCAGATACTGTAAGCGGGCGCCTTGGATCGGTGCTTATTGGGGCATGCTGTTGCTCTAGGACACGCTAACGAGCCAGCGTTTCAGTCCAGTCAGCATGTGGATGTGTACGGAAGAAACAAGCAGAGTGGGCTTCCAGAGGTTCTGAGCCAGTCAGAAGGAAGGCTTGCCTGGCATTGACGCAGTGCTTGGCAGCCGCGAGCACATCCTGCCTCAGCCGAGGTCCTCCCAACGCTTGCAAGGTGAAGTATGTGAAGGGCGGCCTGGAACTGCAAAACGTGCCAGGGGCTGTGGCGTTTGGCGAGACAGTGTCCGTTCAGGCCGCAGAACAGAGAGAGAGAGAGAGAGTGCGAGATAGAGAGAGAGAGAGAGTGCGAGAGAGAGAGAGAGAGAGTGCGAGAGAGAGAGAGAGAGAGAGCGAGAGAGAAAGAGAAAGAGAAAGAGAATGAATACGAGAACGAGAACGAGAAAGAGAGAGAAAAGAGAGAGAGGGAGAGCATCTGAGCGGTGGAGAGCATCTGAGCATCTTCAGGGAACTGCACTTTGACCTCTGCACTTTTGACCTCCGTGTGCACCGTAGGTGAAGTCCAAAGAAAGTGAACTGATTGTGTAGGGCCATGTGCCGGGCATTGAGGGCTGCTTCCCAAAGGGCCTAAAGGCCTGTCAGGTTCAGCAGCCTTTGCTTTTTCGGCGCTTGGACTTTTGTGACGCCTGTCGAGAGGTCACAAGGATTCTCCGACGTTGCATGAATGTGCAAACCACCAATTAGGCGTCCGACGAGTTGATAGGTGTCCAGTTCTGTGTCTGCAGAGCTTGTCGGGCAGTCTCAGTGACTTGCCAGCTCATCAGCCAAAGCTGTGTGCTCAGATTCCGTAGCCAGCGGCTGGCTCCATCATTTTGAAATATTTTGACAGTTTCTGGGTTGCGAGGGTAATCGAAATCAGTCACCAGGCTACTTTGTGCAAGATAGTGGAGCCAGAGTGAGACAATGCCTTTGAATTTCCATTGGCAAATTGGCCATGCGAATGTCATTGTCTGGTCGGCTACAAAATACTTTTGCAGTGGACGCCGTGAACCTCGCTTCCTCCAAACATGAGCTGCAACCTTGAGCCGGCATCACACCCCACGCCAGGTAGCCCACACCATGATGCTTGAGAACCAGGCGGGCAAAGCCGTTTCGCGTCATCATGGACATCTTGGAAGGAGACATTCTTATTGCCACTGACAAAGTGTTCTTGGCGCATCCGGTCGGCACCCTCATTTCAGCAACCACACAGATTGATTCCTGCATGCCACTCAGAATTGCCAGAGAGTCGGTCAGCAAGCGCGGCCGCATCATGCGTTTGGATTCGGGCCATAAAGCTTTTTCCCATGCTGTCGCCAGTCAGGTCGAGGTTTGTGTGCTCGCTTAAAGGGAATTGCTGCAGGCAACAAAGCCATTTCAGATCTCACTCAACGAGCTTCTGAAGAGTGCCGTGCCCTCGGTGACCGAGTGCCCAATGAGCAGTTTGCCAGTTTGTGACGTGTACCGCATTCGAGCAAACCTGACTTCGATGCCGACACGAAAGGAGCTGCGGGGCAGAATGGATAAGACTCAAGCGAGTCCGGCAAGTCGGAGCTCGCCATGCGAAAGACGTTGCAAATGCACCCTTTGGTTCTGACTCTAGAACCAGCTGTGCCACAAGCAAAACCCGGGTAGATGAAGGCTAGTAAGGGCCAATCCCAGCCTAACTAGCTGCGGCCGGCCTGACTTCTTTCACCATTTCAGTACCGTGGGTTGAGTGTGGCTCAGGTGCTCAAGCTGGAGAATGAGAAGGAGACCTCCCTGGGACAACGCATGAAGAAAGATCCTAACATTTGGTGAGCCCCGCGCTTTCGCTCTCGACTGCCCATTTTTCTTTTTTCGGAAGCAAGCCGCCCATTGCTGCCACTTTGCAGCCAAGAGGTTGGCCCAAGAATAGCTATGGCGCGGTTGCTCTTGTGTGCGCTTCCAGTGGCTGCTTGGTACTAAAACCTCGATACATGTCAATGTATATATGTATGTAAATAGACTATATATATAATATTGTATATACATATATGCATGTGTCTTGGCCGGACCTCCTTCCTTTGGTGGCTATTTTGTGAAAGGCAACCGCTGAAGCAAAGCCATTGGAAGGTGTCCCTATTTTTGCGACATACCCACGGTTCATCCCAGGTAATAATTCTGGATAAAGAGGTTCCTGACATGGGTGCTGTACTCTCACTTGGGGCTAGAGGTGCTTGTCGGCAAGCTTGAACTCATTCACGAGATGTGCGAAGAAACTCGCGTTTTGAGGCATTTGATGCAAATGGTTGCCTGCGAATTGCAACAGGTTGCACCAGCCGGCTAACCACTACAAGTATCAAGAGCCGATTTCTAGGGGTTGATTCCCTATTCTTTTCAACTATTGTTCTTTTCATTGGGATTTTGATGGTTTCCTGAAAAGAAGGATCCCTGGAAAGAATGGGGAAGGTACCCCTAGACTATTGGCATCATCCCATCGGATCACTTCTGACTTGGACCAACAAAACAAGCACATCTTGTCCAAGGTTGCAGGCCAGTGTCCTGCTGGCTTCACAAAGTGTGCCGGGGCCTTACTTGTGTATTTGAGGGAACCAACTTGTCGGTTTCCCTAGAGTTCCCTTTGAAACCAAAGCTACAAAATCACACGAAGACGCCCATTTGAAAACTGCTTGCCCAGCAAGATCGCGGTTCCTTCTGTCTTTATGGCAGGAGAGTCTTGGCCAGATTTGCGGCAAGCTCAGACCTCATATTCCATGAGTTGGCCTGTCGGCACGAGGCGATTTTGGCATGAAGATGTTGACTTCAAGTGCCGATGACTCGTAAAGTTACGATCATTCAGGAGACCCAAGTACAGGACCTCAAGTACAGGACCTCACGTACACTACAACCGCGCCCAGGTTGCGCAAGGAAAATTATCGAATCCCCAAGTACAGGACCTTGCTCATGGGGCCCACCAGCTAGCGGTAACTTGCCCAGATGCGTGCAGCTATTCCCTTTACCTGCACGATGGTGCAGGTGGCAATCGCTCTTGTTGCCTGGGCCTGCGGACGAGATGCGGCGCTGGGTCGGTTTGTGCCGGCACAGAGTCCAGGCGAACCAGAGACGTGGCTACAACCCAATGGCCCTTTCGGAGACTTGCAACTCATGAAATCCAGGAAATTGCTTGTAGCATGCTCTAGACAAAAATTTGATGTTAGTTGTTGACGTGTATTCTGGTAGAAATTCAATGACTGTTGCAGCAAGCGTGTCTGTGCGGCTGTGCAATACCTGTGATGACTCTATATGCTGCTAAGTTACGTGTATATGATTTGCTGTGAACTGAGATCACAGGCTTCATCAGATTGTGGATGACATAGATGAACACTGCGGTTGGAACAGCCTGGTGCTCGTTTCCAATGTCAGGTGTGGAGCTGAGTCCCTGTGCAGTGGCTTGGACTCAGATGCTGAGCTGCAGATAGCTTCCAATGGCCCTCCCGCGCGATAAGCCAAGAGTTCGCGCAGCGACGCGACGCGTCCGAGGTGTGTGGCAAGTTCTCCGAGTGCAGCGGACTTGGAGCGCTCTGCGATGAGCCCCAGCCTTCGCCACCTGAGCCCATGCCCACCATGCGGCCTATGGAGCCGATGCAACCCATGAAGCCAATGCCGACCATGAAGCCTATGGAGCCATTGCCCACCATGAAGCCTATGGAGCCAATGAAGCCGTCCGCGGCTAAGCCAGGATATATGATGTGGCCCTGTTGCCAGAGCCCAGGTCCCATCCCTTGAGACCTGTACCTCAACCACCTGCAAAGGCTAGGATGCATGGTCAAGCCACACATCTCGCATGTTGGTGTGTATTTGTGTGTCTGTGTAACTGTGTGTCTGTGTGTCTGTGTGTCTGTGTGTCTGTATGTCTGCGTGTCTGCGTGTCTGCGTGTCTGCGTGTCTGCGCGTCTGCGCGTCTGCGCGTCTGCGCGTCTGCGCGTCTGCGCGTCTGCGCGTCTGCGCGTCTGCGCGTCCGCGCGTCCGCGTGCGTGCGTGCGTGCGTGCGTGCGTGCGTGCGTGCGTGCGTGTGTGTGTGTGTGTAAAGTGTGTGTGTGTGTGTGTGTAAGTCCTAATGTCAGTGTGTGTGTGTAAACGTGTGCGCGCGCAAAAGTGTGCATGCATCACCTTTCTCACGTGCCAAGCCTGCCTTCTAATGCAGATGGCTCAGCTTTGGTCATGATCAGTTCACAGCTCGGGCAGGTCCTTAACAATGGCTGCGGACTTGGCTCAGCATGTCACCTGGCAGATGAAGGAGTCGTACCGCATTCACAGTTGCTTGACCCTGCGGCTTTGCCATCATGCCGGTTTGTCTCCAGATGGCTGAACGTGCCGTGCTTCCCGTTGGTTTCCCCATAAGCCAACACCAAGAAGGATACATTCGAGCAAAAAGAACAAACAGGACCCATTTGATGTGTTTGTTGGTGCTTCAGGTATTCTAGGGCATGTAGCCTCAACTGGCCCTTTGGGCTTGCCATGCCAGAAGCTCGCATGTTTTTGTTCGCAGCATGATTGGGTTTCAAGCGCTCAAGCCAGTGACTCAGGTTCGGGCCGTGGTGCGTCAAGCATTGATGGAATGGACGTATGTTGTCCTACTGATTGCCCGATGTGTTCTATCAGCGCGCCGCTTGCGTGCATCAAGTCAGCACCGTTGCAAGAGTGCTTGGCAACTAGGGCAGAAGAAACGTCCGAGCCTTGTCAAGTACACTGATTGCGGAGCTGCACTCTTGTAACAACGGACCCTGTTGCTATCCCAGCCGCATGGCTTTGAACTTGGTTATGTATTCATCGTTCTGTTGCAAGCCAGTGGGTGTGCATGCGCATCGCGTGCGACAGGTCCTCCGTCAATGGTGTGTTGAGCACGACCTGTGTGTGCGACTACCTGCTCGTTTCCAATGATGAGGCACCTTGCTGCTTCGCGAACCATTCAGAGCAACATGCCATTTGCAACTCCAGACTGACAGATTCTCAGCCCAAGCAGGCGCAACCTCAGATTGCGTCGCTGCGGGCAACCGTCGATCCCGGCGAGGAAGCTCCGGCAGTCCAGAATGAGGGCTGCGATGTCGGAGATGCATGTGGCTCCAGAGGCTGGGAAAGGTCCTAACAGATGTTGAGCATGCGTCGGGCTTGAGCAGGCGTGCCAGTCAGAAGTGGCTGCCATGGCAGGTAGTTCAATGGTGGATGGCCATCGCTTCTGCTGCCCAGCAGGTTGGGCTTTGCATTAAAACTGTCAGCTGCGCAGGAACCAGCTCTGAAATCAACCAGGGTGCCGTCGCAGTGGTTTGCTTGCCCCCTTGTCAATGTGGCGCGAAACCAAAAAGCAAGGCTCCAAGACCAGACCTGAAAAGCGTGTCAAGCGCTGGGCTTTGAACGACAAATTCGCCGCTCAGATTGCGCTGACTGCGGCGTCTCTGTGTCGAAGTCCGCCACGTCGATATCAGCCAACTGCGTGTGCGCCGTGAAGGCCATGTCGAACTGGATGACCTGACACCCTAGTGGCTAGTTGCGGTGTTGCGTGCCAACTGTTTCCCTGAGGGCCCCAGATGAAGTGTCAATGTCGGTTCCAGCTTGCACCAAAGGACATGTGTGTAGGATCTAGCATCCGAACGGAACCCAGCTGTTAGAGCCCTTTCCATTGGGTCATCCAAGCTGTACGGCAGCTCACCGATAGGGCTGGACAACAGCTCAGAAGTGCGCGGCGGTGGCCGGCGTCGCATTGATGCTGGGTGCAGGACCCGCGGCAGATCGTTTCCTGTTTGAGGGCGCCGCTTTAAACAGGGCTCCTTAAAAGATACATTTTGCCCATTTGAAACATGGCTTTTCCTACCAAAATAAAGGGAAACCACCATGTACAAGGCAATGTTCAGGTGCATGATGTAAGGATCCCTGTTAAAAGGTGTGGGTTTGCTGAGATAAGCCAGGAAGGTTTTGTATCTTTGAGGCATAGCCGCAGCCGGCTTGAGCATGGCGAAATAGTGCTCACATGGTAGCGGAGCGAAGATCAAGGACCTTTTGAAGCCCGAGAGCTTTCAAGTTCACGAACATGAAGGATTCCGGACTTTGCCATTTGCATCCTTCCCTTCGGCACGCTCACCTTTTCTAGGCAACCTTCACCTTGAGACCTTCGGCATCTTGGGTGCTTGCCTTCGTGTCCTCGGGCATGGCGCCGGAGCCAACCACTGGCTCCGGCGCGGCAGCGGGGCAAGAACCAGACACTGGTCGCAGCGCCATACTAGAATGGCAAGATGCCGGACAGGAACTACCGCGAGCACTTTGGCGATGGATGGCCTCGACTTGGCATTGGAGACTCGGTGATGGTGGTGAGAAGTGTCAAGCAGTGCCGGTCAACGCCAGCAAGCTCAAATCGACGTGGCGGTAATCCACGCGTCCGCGAAGGCTCTGAAGGCGAAGGTCTACCGTGGGCCCGGGCGAGCTCATGATTTCGGATTGCCTCACGAAGACAAGCTGGCCACTAGCACCCTGCTTGGGCAGATCCTGGCTCTTGGCCAATCTCGGCCAACACGGTTTGAGAATCCAAGCAAAGAGCCAAATCTTGGGGAATTCAACCCCCTGAAAATGTGAATTTGTTGGGATAAGCCCCAAGAGCATGGCGAAATAGCGCAGTTTGTTCCTTCGCCCATTGAAGCCTTACAAAAAGCAAAGCCAAAAGAATTCCGCATTTTGCCTTGGTCATTGCTCCGCGCATCTTGGCACTGGCAGGAGTATACTTCCTGCACAAGCGACAATCCCCGGAGCTTTCCGAGAAGTTGCTGCAATGAGCAGTGGCAACAGGTGAGCCACAATCAAAATCTGGGTAGATGAAGGAAACCAGCTCAAAACTGGGTTTTGATTGTGACCAGATGTCTAGCGCAAGATTGTCGAGACCCAGGTCTGACACTTGCAGTAGACAATTATTTTCGACTTTCTCAGCCTGGCCTGTGAGATTGCTTAAGGACACTAGAGCTGTTGATTAGCTGTGGAACATGTTCTAGCTATTGAAGCCGCACAAGAGCTCAAGATGAATTACAGAGCAGACATGATGCGCTTTGATTCCCAGCCCCATTTGTTATGGCATTCGTGTTGTGAAACACAAATCTTACATGCTGGACCTGCACAGGAACTTTTGTCTCCATGTTGGAAGTGGAGGTGTGATCCGATTCTTGACACCTCTGCTTTGGCATCGCAGGGCAAACCCAACGGTCCCAATGCAACGTGACAAACTCGAGGTTTTCCCTGCAGCCCCGATTTTTGCCCGCAACAGGCCTGCGCCTGGAGGGGTCTGGATTTGCACAGCTGGCCTCTGTTGTTGCAAGGCTTGTTGACTTTGTCTCGGGGAAGCAATGCGGCTTTCGTGTTTCCACTACCCAAAGGTTTCAAAGACGGCGGCAGAGCATGTCCATGTGCTGGGCGTGCATCGGGCGGGATCCCGGCAGATTGCACGACGGCTCCGTTGACACAGTACACGGAAAGAGCGCATTTGTGCAGCCATACTGCTTGCGCTGGGCACGCCATTCATTGAACATCTTGCAAGTCTTTCAAGGATTTGCAGTGATTGGGAGGCA